AGCATTTTTTTTTTTTACTTTTTTTTTTTTTTTGATTGAATGATTGATTGATTTATTTATTTTTTTTGATTGAATGATTGATTGATTGATTGATTGATTGATTGATTGATTGATTGATCGGTGGGGAAGGGGTCGCCCTTCCCCACCAATCACACACACACACACACACACGAAAAATTAAAGTTTTCTTTTTTTTATTACATTTTTTTAAATTAAAATACTTAATTTTTGGTTTTTTATTTTTTTTAAATCAGAAAACACTTAAAAATAAATTAAAAAATGACCGCGTTGTAGGTCTCTTCAAACCCTACAACCACTTTTTTTTTTTTTTTTTTGGCCCATCAGTTTTTTTTTTTAAATGTGTGAAAATCTCGCCCACGGCCAACCGTGGGGCCGACCTCGGCGGTCGGGATCCCGACCGCAGGCCGAGATGGACCCCGCGGTCATGACCGCGGGTGATACATAGCACTGGAGCACTTGCAACACGCTCGCATGTTGGTGCGTGCCTATGATCGTGCTCGTCGTGCTGGGTCGAGTGCTCCCCCTCAGCCCACTGACCCTCCTCCTTCTCCTTCGGATGAGGAGACCGCTGAAGTCGAGCCTGCCTCATTTGAGGCAGACCTTTAACAGCAGCCGGATGCTTCTGAGTGTCCACAGCGCACTCGTCGTCGTCCTGCTCGATACGACGATTGACTCTGACTTATCTTCCCAAGTCCTTGACTTCTCAGTACTCCATCCACTCCTGTTTTGCTACTTCAGCTCGTCGACGTTGCGACTCTTCCTCGACGACATTCCAGACTTCTCATCATGAACGTCATCGGCAACTTCATGGACTTCATCACGATCAACTCTGCCTACTTTAGACGTCGTCACTCTCTTACCACCTTACCCTGTACAGTACCCTGGTTGTGTCGCATGATGGTCTCCCTTTGCCGGGTTCCTTTGAGTTGGGCTCTCCCTTGGTATACGCATAGGCATCGGGACCGTAGCGTTGCCCTGGCTTCCCAGCTTACGGATCTAGCTCCGACTTCCCTCACTTTAGGAGTCATTTGCATGATTCCCTTACCCATCACCTTTCTACCCTCTGTCGGCCCTCACGCCCCAGTTAGGCATCCTTGCATGCTTCATCTAGGTGCGCCCAGTATACCAGGCTCCCTTGTTCCCTTGCATGGTCGACCCTCCATAGCGGTCACCCCTTTAGTCGAGCATTACCCGCCCTGATGGTCTATCTGTTAGGGTCATTGGTTCTGTTCGCTCCCTGTTCCCTGCCCTCATTGAGCCTGATGACATGTGTTCCCATGTCACTATGTGTGGATGCCCTTAGGAGTTATCGACCCCTAGGCTCCAATCGCCACCCTCAGAGACCATCCCACCCTTTGGTTTGCGACACACTCCTCCCGTGACATATGGTTCACTTGTTGTTGCTTGTTGCTCTCAGACTGAGGCTACTGCGTCTGACATTTCTAGGATTTAGTTGTTCTGCTTTTGTTGTTCTTAGGACTTATACACTAGTCAGCTGTTTCCAGACTGAGGCTACTGCCTCCAACATTCTAGGACCTAGTTGTTATTACTTCCTGCTGTCCTAGGACATGTATGCTAGTTAGTTGCTTTTGCTTTCACTTAGGCTGTTAGTTGTGACATTGCTGTTTTTGTGACATTGTCTATTCTAGGTTGCATCGCATGGACTCAGCATGGAG